AAAGAAAATATGCTATAAAGTATATTTTAATTTCTAAATATACATTTAAGCTAGTTTTTTGGCATAAATAGGGAATAATTCCAGACAAAATGCAAATTTTAAATACTTTCATCAGTTTTAATTATGAAGTACTGGGCTATAAATATTGCACAATTTCATTACGACTTCATGTTGCCAAAACTTTATGAATTTTTGCGTTTTATGGTTTTAATTTTTAATTTTACTGCTGTCAGGAGTGCAACAAAACTTCTTTATGATTACCAATGCTTTTTAACTATCTTTACTAAAAAATAAGTTTAAAAAAAATGTTTGATACTATATGATGTTCAAAACACTATGTCTATCAACAAATTACAGAAATTTTACAGTCAATTCAGGGAAAAGTTTTCATCATTTCACATATATTTTTAAATACAATTTATATACTTTATCAAAAAGTTCGTGGACTGACGCGATAAAATTAATAATATGTAGTCTTTGCTTACAAAATTTATGCGGAACATAAAACAACAAAAGTTTAAGAAATGTTGAAAATTTTGGCTTGATACGTTGATAATTTGCCAAATTATTCTAAAATTAAAAAGACTTTATGTGATCACCCGGCGCTGTCACCGTTTAGTGTCATGACGTCCGCTTAATGTCATTGTTTCTTAATGTCCGCTCTCTCTACCTCATACACTTATCTTGATGTGATTACCTTGAGTTAAGTAACGACTTAAACCCGTCTTATTTATATGAATTTACTATGTCATGAGCAGCTGTTTTCAATGCATATAATATTGTAAATGGATCTTTATATTGGGAAAGATCATCATTTGATTATGCCAGAATACTTAGCTTGTTGGAGTTCAATTTTTACAACACTTGATCAACGTCACTTTTCGACATGACTGACTTTTGACACCCTGACTGCAAATCAACACTAACTGTGCATATTTCATCTCTCTGAATCTTTTTGGGCATTAAAAAACAAGTACTCTGGATGTATTTTATTTTTCTGTAGCCAGTTTAAACATTCCTTAGGTCAACACCAGTTTTTCCAGGAGCAAAACTCTATAGAGTGTTTGAAAAAGAAACCCCTCCCCCTTTTTGATGTTATTTTCAAGCCCATAATAGTTTGGACACTCCATATAAAATTTACAATAAAATTTCATAGAAATTACAGAATGGGGTATAAATTGCAAATTTTACTAAACAAATGTGTCGTACTACATGCCTGAATTAATGAGATTTTTTGATGACAAATACTCATATCTAAAGAGTTTTTCTCAGTTACACTCAGGTAGGGAAAAAAACGTCATACTAGAGGTTGTGCCGTCTGGACATACCTTTGCTTACAAAAACACTAACAATTTATTAAAAAATAAAAATTATGATTTATGGTTTATTCTATAGATACAAAAGATGACGCTTACTAAATGTGTAAAAATTCATTGATGTACCTAAAGCGGTTTTAATTTTATGATGCTAGTCCATGAACTTTTTGATAACCCCTTGTATATTACACATTGGAAATAATCATGTTTTAAGGTTTTCAAAATAAGAAAAAAAAACCTGCCGTTTGCGATGAAAAATTTCAAAAGACAAATTGATTTACAAAGTAAGAATGGGCCATTGTGTGTTATAATTTTTAAAACAATGTTAATAAAAATACATATCAGATGTATGTTGTATTATGCAACACAATACTGTAACATAGGGTCACTTCAAAATCTAGTATTTTTTGTAAGAGAACTTGTATATAAAAATTCTTTTTTGGCTCAGATTTAAAGATATTCGAATCAACTTAAATGGACAAAAAAGTGTATTTCGGGGAATTTTACTGATTCATACTTTTTTCATATAAAAACTTTTCAAATCAGAATTGAAAAAATAATGTAAAATAACAATCAAAAAGCCAATTTTTTGTCACATATACAGATATATATATACATATTAGGGCTGTCACGAGTACCCGAAATAACCGAGAACCGCGGTCCAAGTTGTTCGGTTCGGTTCCGGTTCCATTTTTCCGGATTTCGGTTCGGGTCTGGTTTATATATTAGAGTCTGTTCAATACAAAAAATGGCGTCGAAATCAAAGGAATGATGACGATAACAGTGATAAATAAACATCACAACTGAAATCTCCTTCATTCCATGACAAAACACTTGTCACGGAAGTATTAGATAATTATCAAAACGAGCAGGAATGGTCAGGTTGTGGTTAATAGTAGGCCAAGTCACCGATGTCTAGACGTTCGCATGGTTAAGACTTGTTTTCAATGTAAATTTAATGTAACAAATAAAGATTTTTCAAGTTAAATTCATGAAATTAAGGTTTAAAATAGATGTAAATACCCGACCCGAAAAACCCGAAACCGAACCAAAAATTTACAGAACCGACCCGACCCGAAAAATTTTGGAACCGTGACAGCCCTAATATATATATATATAAAGATATATATATATATATATATATAAAGATTGAGAGGCAATATGAAAACCATCTATCCTTCTGTATTCAATAATCCAGAAGTGAAAAAAGAATTAGATAGATTACATGATCAGTACGTACTGGTCCCTGCTGACAAAGCAGGTAACAACATTGTCTTTGTTTGTAAGGCTCATTATATTAAATGTATTTTAGAGGAACCTGGATTTAATTCTACAAGTGGTAATCCAACTTATACTCATAGTTCCCTTTCTAAGGAAGAAATTCTTCAAAATCATATGTCAGTTTTGAATATTTTTAATATTCCAAACAACCAAAATGAATTTGAATTACCATATTTATATTGGATTCCGAAACTTCATAAAAATCCTTACAAACAAAGATACATAGCGGGTTCCAGTAAATGTTCAACCAACCCTCTATCTTTACTCCTCACTAAGATATTAACAGTGGTGAAGGAGAAACTTCAAAAGTACTGTGCAACAATATATTCGAGAAGTGGTGTAAATCAGATGTGGATACTTAAAAATTCCAAGGAACTTTTGGAAAATTTGAAATCACAAGATTTTACCAAAATCAACAGCTTAAAAACTTACGACTTTTCAACTTTTTACACAACCATTCCCCACGATAAATTAATGTCCAGGCTTTTTAATATCACTGACAGCTGCTTTTTCAATAAAAATGGAACTCGTAAATATACTTACCTTGTCATTGGTCATTTGCAAAATTATTTTGTTAAAAAACATTCTGATTGTTCACACAAGTACTCTGAAGTTGACATTAAAAAGATGCTTGAGTTTCTGATTGACAATATCTATGTGGTTTTTGGAGACCAGGTCTTCCAACAATCTATTGGAATTTCTATGGGTACCAATTGTGCCCCGTTATTAGCAGACCTTTTTTTTGTATTCATATGAAGCAGAATTTGTCCAAAATCTTGTACGTGAAAAGAAAAAAACACTTGCTGTGGCCTTCAACTCGACATTTAAATATATCGACGACGTATTGTCAATTAACAATGGCTATTTCCATTCTCATGTCGATACGATATATCCTGGTGAACTTGATATAAAAGATACCACAGAGTCTGACACATCTGTTTCATATTTGGATGTTTTACTTGAAAAAGACATTAATGGTAATCTAACAACCAAGCTTTATGATAAACGTGATGACTTTAACTTTTCAATCGTCAACTTCCCTTACTTATGCAGCAATATACCTTCATCACCTGCATACGGGGTATATATCTCTCAGTTGATTCGATATGCAAGAGCATGCTCTACGTATGTACAATTTCTAAAACTAGGTAAATTATTGACAAATAAGTTGATGAAACAAGAATATCAGCTGTCTCGTTTAAAGTCATCATTTCGTAAGTTCTATGGTCGATACAATGACCTTGTCAGCAAATACAATTTATCATTGAGTCAAATGCTGACTGACGTTTTTCACACTAATTGTTAGGCCATTATTTACACACTGAATTGTCGACGGATTTTTCCGTTATTTTAGGAATGACTCTAATTCTTGGGCAAATTATTCGAGTATAACCTGGTTTGGGTCAGTTTACGCTTTATAATCCGCGAAGCGGATTATAAAACAGCGTAAACTGACCCAAACCAGGTTATACTCGAATAATTTGCCCAAGAATTAGAGTCATTCCTTATAATTTAATTTTAAAATCATGAAATAACTATGGGTGTAAAATTTCGTTGCTTTTTATTAGTTCAAATTTGCCGCTCAATAATACAACCTAACGGAAGTAACGGAAGTGATGGGAAGCAAGGGGAGGTAAAAACTGATACATAGGCCTAGCAGCCTTTTTACATGTGGTAAGAGCGAATTATCGTTTGAAGTTAAAGGTACGTTTATTAAATCTGGAATTTTCCATGAATCTCGAGGACTGGAAATGAGAGGATTGTATGGATACAGATAATTCAGCTGGTTGTCAGGGGGGGGTGTCCCCATACCAAACCAGGTTATACAGAAATAATTTGTGTTCCTTTTTGGATATTAACCAATCAGAGGTAAGAATACAAACAAAATTAAATTATTTCCCGATCATGACAAGGAGCACACGGCGGGTGTAACCGGTCGGCAGGGGATGCTCACTCCTCCATGGCACCTGATCCCACCTCTGATGTTTGGAGGTCCGTGTTTGCTCTGCTCCTATTTTGTATTGATTATGGACTTTTGAGCTTGAATACTGTTCGTTATCTCCATATATTTCATATACAAGACAAGATACTAAATCAAGGTCTAGATTTAATCATTTATACTCCTTTTACCATTTTGAAGGATAAAAAACTGTAATTTCTTGTGATTATGTATTTTATAAAGTCTTTTAAGATGTAATATTTTCTTTTTTCAAAAGAAATTTTACTAATAAAAATTCTGAAATTTTTTAATCCAATTGTCTATTCTATTGCCACTTCAGGATTTTAAACTAGAATGCATGTGCAATATGATGATATGAGTGAAAAATATGTTATAAGTAGTTGAATTTTTCCAAAAAATTTCAGTTTGGTGGTCCTTTTTTTTAAATTCACCCTTATACATACCTACAGTGTCACATCTACTGAAACTCATGGAATAACTGTCTGCTATATTTGAATTTTCACAAAGCTTCAGATCCATAAGATAAACTTCTACTTTACAGTGCTTGACAAACATTCCTTGTTCAATAACTTTCCTTGCAACTGGAACCTAAAAAATAATACCAAATGTATTGAACCTTCCTCCATTGAATAGAATTTCACAGAAGATTAATTTTCAAAACAATATGCCCATGGGCATGATACCTGAGTATCATGAGTTTGAGCTATGAGCACTTTGGTCCAACTCAAACTCTATAGACTCAAAAAAAATTCCAGCTTTGTAAAGACTTATAAATATTCATGCAACTTGTCTCCAAGAAGTTCAGGAGTATAGATTCATGAAGGTATATACAATAAACATCAAATACAGTTTAACTTCTGCCATATTTTTAGAAATCTGAGTTCACTGCCAATCACAGAATGTCATTAATATCTTTCCAACTGGAAAATGTAAAATTTAAATGAAACTTACTACCTGCCATAACATAATCATCATAGATGAGGAAAATGTGCAATAAATATTCTTGAGGTTATATGCAAGCATCATAACAGTATTTAAGGACTCTCTCTACACTAAACGAAAATGTTTTTTGGCCATTGAGAAAATTTTATTGTATAAAGGTGTAAATATTGAGCTTATTTATATGGTTTCAACATTGGGTGCCTGGCTTTTACCCCCAGGAGAAATGTTCAAAGGCAACAAAGTTTTGATGAACAGAAATCAATGCTGTTTACCTAAGTTGGGAAAAGGTGTTCAATTAATTTATCATGGCCTATCAAAATTTTAAGAATGTTAGAATTGATTAGAAATTGATTGATAAACTGTAGATTTCAATTTATTTCATTTTAGATCTAAGGGCAGATTACTCTAACTTCATAAAAATACCACAGAATCAGAACTCTTTAGTGTGCAGTGTATAGAGGGTTCTTAAATGGAGGTTCAAAACATGGCTGAAGCAAAATAATTCCTAATGTAACTTTGTATTTAAACTTTCTGATAATGCCTGATTCATTAAAATTTGGGCATGCTGTATTTTGTGTGTGTTATATTTTTTTGTGTGTGTTATATCTGAGGAGGAATTATCACCTCGATGAATGTTTATCTGTAAGTAAGGCAAATTTCACATTTTTTTTTTAGTTAGTATACATCCCAGATCAATATCCATGCAAGTTTGGTTTATGTAGGACTTATAGTTACTTGGAAATAGACCTGCTCGAAAAACTTTTAAGCTGTACACTAATCAAGAAAATTTTGGTCAGTTCCAACATCCAAAAGCAAGTCTGGAAGTTTTCATCCTTAGATGCTCCATCTATGCAAGTTTAATCATAACATGCCATAATATTATACAGCTACTCCAAAAAGTTACCCTGGTCACTCATCTGGAAAATATAGGTCAGATTCAGAATCCAAAGCAAGTCTGGAAGTGTCCATCCCTAGATACATTATCCATGCTAAATTGGTTAAAAATGGCTAAAATTCACTTGTGTGGAAAATCTAGGTCAGATCCAGTATCTGAAGCAGGCTGGTTAGTTTACATCCCTAGATGCATCCTCATGAATAAAAGTTTGGTCCAGGTAGGGCTTATAGTTACTTGGGAATGGATCTGCTACAAAAACTTTAACCTGGTCACTCATCTGGAAAATCTAGGTCAGATCCAGCATCCGAAGCAAGAGCGGTAATGTCCATCCCTAGATGCATCATCCATGCAAGTTTGTTCCAGGTAGTGCTTATAGTTACTTAGGAATGGACCTGCTCTAAAAACTTTAACCTGGTCACTCATCTAGAAAATCTAGGTCAGATCCAGCATTGTAAACCGCCATAATTATTTGACCTAATTATCCTACGATGGCTTATTCCCCATAGGCTACTCACCAAAACCAACATCTAATTATCACACACAATTAAGGGGCCCTCTAAAGGGTACAGGAAGAATTACCTGTATGAATAAACTACCTGAATTTAAATGTATTCAAACAGAAAAAATCTATCAAGTTATGTGTTTAAATCCTATTAAATGAGTTAAATATTATTTTTTTATGCTGTTAAATAATTTTATTTTTTTCTATTTAAGGGATACTGTTATAAGTTATAAATTCCCAATCAATACTATTTAACAGCTCTAAAAAAAAATTATAAGTACAATAAAAATATTTTAATTTTTTTCCTTTTAATTTTCTTTATTAATTTTATGTTATTATTTTTTCTTTCAATTTTTAATGAAAATAAAATTTTAATATATTTAAATGATTTATCAGATACTATTTATCCAGGTTAACACAGGTAAATTTACCTATATCCCTTAGAGGGCCCCTTAATTGAGTGTGATAATTATACTTGTTGTTTTTGGTGAGCAGCCATTCAGGGAACATACTGCTATGGATGGGCACTGGATGGACAGGTTCATGGTTGATTAAAGGGGTTGAAGGTTATTACTGACTGCAAAACATCAACAAATCTCTTGATTTTCTCTTACGAATTTACCCCTAAAGTATTTAGGCATACCTCTTAATAAGTAGAGTAATATATGGAAAAAACAACTTTTATTAAAATCATAAATACATTTTTAGTTTCTGTAAATTGTGCAACTGTTGTAATGGAAACAATGGAAATGCTTCCATAATGAAAAGTTTTTTTTCTTCTCTTATTAAAAGATCATAAAAGTTCAACTCACAGGGGTACATTCTGTACTCTGATTTTTATTACATTAAACAATCATAAACAATCACATACTTTTTTATTTCAATCACTACTGAAATCATTATTTCAATTGCTACTGAAATCTTTTTTTCAATATTGAACATTTTTTTTGTACAAGGGAAGAGAAGACTTTTAACTCTTTGCCCCTTGCGATGTCTGTGACGTAATAGTAGCATTACATTTGTTACTATTTGATGACATTATCCTTTTCCCCGCAGCGCACTTGCGATTACGTGCAGAAAAGACGTGGTTTTGAAGATGAATATTCACGGTGTATGTAACAAAGGTTGCCGTATATATCCCAATAATATTCATGCAACCATCCGTAAGTTGAATTAAAGTATTTTTTATGGTGATTTAATCCTATTTATTTTGTTTAAATAATTCTTTTATGCTGACTGTTACAAACTTGCTATATTATCATAGCTTGTACTTTATTATAAAATTTAAATTTAAAACATTGCTCAAAATACTTATTTGATTTTCCAGATAGGATTTCATTTTTATGCTCGTTTTAAAGCGAGAGACATTGACACTCATAAACACACACACCCCCCCCTTTTATTTCTTCGGTTACATCCAAAACCATTTTATCGAAACTTGCAGAATCTTCCAATTATAAATAAAAATAGAAGTGAGATCTTGAAGAGAAGGATTATCACTCGTGAAGATTTTTATAACATTATTTTACAGATTTTTTAGCACAAAAAAGAAGTTGTAGCTTTCAGCATATTTATTTTAATTTATATTAAATAATTTTTTACAACAAATTGTTGGAATATCGCTGAATTTTCTATTGAACAATAGCAGATTGTCAAAGGGAGACATTTCATTTTTTTTAACTGATCACATCTTCTTTTTATTATTTTGGTCAATATACGGATAAAAATACTGTCGACTCGGCATTAAAATACGGGTTTATGAGAAATCATTAAACAGTCACTCAGTTAATAAAATTTATCATAATAAATGTTTGTGTTAAACAGCATTATCTCATCCTCACTAGCCAAGGGTTTCCAATCCGAAATCTATTCTAGTTGTGGAGGTGTGAAGCGGATGGGAAACCCTTGCCTAGCGAAGATGGCTGTATCTTAAGACCTAAAGGTACATGTTGACTACTAAAAAGAATCAGCACGTTTAAAAAAAAATGGTGTCCGAAGTATTCTGATTATTTGTGGAGCAAGTCAGACAGTACTCTTTAAAGGGTTTCTATGTAAATGCATTAAATGTAGCTGTATTTATTGAGAAATATAGAATGTATTGATTTCCACAGTTTTTTCCGATTTATCAGATTTTGTGACATGATGAATTTTATGAACATGTGGCGTGGATGTAAGCAAAAGCCTGTCCACTTCTACAAAGAGAAAAGCGTATTTATATCAAATTTAATCAAACTTTAAACAGAAAATAAAGTCAAATTAAGAAACATGGTATACAATAGAATTATAAAATTAATCAATTACTTACCATGTATCTCCCAATAAAGTTCTACTCTATAGTATCACACTGTGATAAAAATTGAATGAATCACATAACGAACCAAATCGTGGTAACAAATATATAAAACAAACGATGGATTTACATATAGAAAGGTCAATGTTTTAAATAATGGCAATGTGTCTAACCGATAAAGATAAAATATGCAAAGCCACAATTACAAGATGTGTTTGTGAAACACTGATGCCCCCGTATGGCAGCTTATGGCAAAGGTTAAAGTTTCTTCAAATGCAAGTCAAAATCCAGGCCAAAAGATAAAAAATGTTGATACCCAAAGAAAGGTCTTGTCTCGAGGAATACACCCGTGAAATTTGAAAGATCTAGATACAACTGTTCAAAGGTTATGGCGAAGGTTAAAATTTTTTAAATAAAAGTCAAATGTCAAGGTCAAAGTGGTTGGTATCCAAAGGAAGATCTTGTCACAAGGATTACATATGTGAAGTATGAAAGCCCTAGCACCAACCATTCAAAAGTTATGGCCAAGGTTAAAGTTTTTCAAAAGTAGGTCAAACTCCTAGGCCAAGGTCAAAGGGTCAAAGTGGTTGATATCCAAAGGAAGGTCTTGTCACAAGGATTAAATATGTGAAGTATGAAAGCCCTAGCATCAACCATTCAAAAGTTATGGCCAAGATTAAAGTTTTTCAAAAGTAGGTCAAACTCCTAGGTCAAGGTCAAAAGGTCAAAGTGGTGGTTGGTATCCAAAGGAAGGTCTTGTCGCAAGGATTACATATGTGAAGTATGAAAGCCCTAGCTCTAACCATTGAAAAGTTATGGCCAAGATTAAAGTTTTACAAAAGTAGGTCAAACTCCTAGGTCAAGGTCAAAGGGTCAAAGTGGATGATATCCAGAGGAAGGTCTTATCACAAGGAATACACATGTGAAGTTTGAAACCCTAAGCACCAACTGTTCAAAAG